CAGTCCCAGATTCGTTCTTTCAGGATATCAGAAAGAATTATGATGGACGCATACAATTTGATAATTTATTTATTTCTTGTATTTGAAATTATAAATCTGTTGCTTGTAATTGGTATGATCATTCATAACTTTTCAAATTTTCATATATTTTTTCCTATCAAAAAAGGCACAGAAAAACCTTTTTTGTATGAAATTATAATCAGGAAAATTATATTAGAAAGGCATTTTTATGTCTGCTGTGGTGTAAGTAAATTTTCGTGATACATATTTCACTGTGGGAAGATATCATAGACCACTGAGATACTGGTCACAAAGACTAACTTATTATAAGTTCATCAAAATTACCGGTCACAAATACCTACTATAGACCACTGAGATACTGGTCACAAATACCTACTATAGACCACTGAGATACTGGTCACAAACACCTTCTATAGACCACTTAGATACTGGTCACAAATACCTTCTATAGACCACTGAGATACTGGTCACAAACACCTACTATAGACCACTGCGATACTGGTCACAAACACCTAATATAGACCACTGAGATACTGGTAACAAACACCTACTATAGCCCACTGAGATACTGGTCATAAACACATACTATAGGCCACTGAGATACTGGTCATAAACACCTTCTATAGACCTCTGAGATACTGGTCACAAACAACTTCTATAGACCACTGAGATAATGGTCGCAAACACCTACTATAGACCACTGAAATAGTGGTCACAAACACATACTATAGTCCACTGAGATACTGGTCACAACCACCTACTATAGATCACTGAGATACTGGTCACAAAAGATACTGGTCACAAACACCTGCTATAGACCATTGAGATACTGGTCACAAACACATACTATAGTCCACTGAGATACTGGTCACAAATGCCTACTATAGACCACTGAGATACCGGTCACAAAAACCTTCTATAGACCACTGAGACACTGGTCACAAAGACTAACTTATTATAAGTTCATCAAAATTACCGGTCACAAATACCTACTATAGCCCACTGAGATACTGGTCACAAAAGATACTGGTCACAAACACCTGCTATAGACCATTGAGATACTGGTCACAAACCCCTACTATAGACCACTGAGATACTGGACACAAACACCTACTATAGACCAATGAGATACTGGTCACAAACACATACTATAGACCACTGAGATACTTGTCACAAACACCTACTATAGATCACTGAGATACTGGTCACAAATGCCTACTATAGACCACTGAGATACCGGTCACAAACACCTTCCATAGACCACTGAGATACTGGTAACAAACACCTTCTATAGACCAATTAGATACTGGTCACAAATACCTTCTCTAGACCACTGAGATACTGGTCGCAAATACCTACTATAGACCACTGAGATTCTGGTCATAAACACCTTCTATAGTGCTGTGGTGTAAGTACATTTTCGTGATACATATTTCACTATGGGAAGATATCATAGACCACTGAGATACTGGTAACAAACACCTACTATAGCCCACTGAGATACTGGTCACAATCACCTTCTATAGACCACTGAGCTACTGGTCACAAACACCTTCTAAAGACCACTTAGATACTGGTCACAAAGACCTACTATAGACCACTGAGATCCTGGTCATAAACACCTTCTATAGACCACTTAAATACTGGTCACAAATACCTTCTCTAGACCACTGAGATACTGGTCGCAAATACCTACTATAGACCACTCAGATACTGGTCACAAATACCTTCTCTAGACCACTGAGATACTGGTAACAAACACCTTCTATAGACCACTTAAATACTGGTCACAAATACCTTCTCTAGACCACTGAGATACTGGTCTAGAGACCACTGAGATACTGGTCAAAACACCTTCTATAGTAGACCACTGAGATACTGGTCTAGAGACCACTGAGATACTGGTCATCAAAATACCTCGTCACAAACACCTTCTATAGTCCACTGAGATACTGGTCACAAAGACTAACTTATTATAAGTTCATCAAAATTACCGGCCACAAATACCTACTATAGACCACTGAGATTCTGGTCACAAACACCTTCTATATACCACTTAGATACTGGTCACAAACACCTGCTATAGACCATTGAGATACTGGTCACAAACCCCTACTATAGACCACTGAGATTCTGGTCATAAACACCTTCTATAGACCACCGAGATACTGGTCACAAACACCTGCTATAGACCACTGAGATACTGGTCGCAAACACCTACTATAGACCACTGAAATAGTGGTCACAAACACATACTATAGACCACTGAGATACTGATCATCAAAATGCCTCGTCACAAACACCTTCTATAGACGACTGAGATACTGGTCACAAACTCCTTCTATAGACCACTGAGATTCTGGTCACAAACACCTTCTATAGACCACTGAGATACTGGTCAAAACACCTTCTATAGACCATTGACCAAACACTTTCTCAGAAATCAAGTCCAGTTCTGTTATATATTTAAAAAATGTCTTGTTTGTAACATATTTTTACATTATTGAGAAGTTAGTCTGTAAACAACCTCTTGTTGAACACTTGTTACATTTTATTACATATTAAGATATTTACAGGTGTGAAATTTAAATGTATCATAACGAAATTATAGAAAATGTAGTGTAGAGGTTATAATTGTACATAAGAAAACTGTTGCTTCCTAGCTTGGTGCTGGAGGTAATTTAAATTAGGCCTTGCATCTGAAGCAAATCCAAATATTTGCATACTGATGATGCACCCTTTAAAGCTATGAACTTATTCATATATTATCTGCTTCGTCCAAGGATATTCCAGACCAAATTAGGATGAAATTCCTTAATCCCTATGGTAGAAGAAGAATTCTAAAGGTTTACCTCTATTTTCCCTATTCGGCCCCATCCCTCTGCCCCCATGGGATCCACATCCACCATTTATACAACATTGAGTCCCCTTGGCCCAAGGATGCTCAAGACTAAATTAGGATAAAACACTTAATTCGGTTGGTAGAAGAAAGATTTCAAACGTTTGTACCTCTATTTCCCCTATTGGGCCCCATAACTCTGACTCCAGGGGGTCCAAACCCACTGTTTAAACAACATTGAGTCCCCTTGGCCCAAGGATGATCCAGTCCAAATTGGGATGAAATCCCTTTGGTAGGATTTTAAAGGTTAACCTCTATTTCCCCTATTGGGTCCGTGCATCCCTCTGCCCCCAGGGGGGCCACACCCACCATTTATATAAAATTGAGTCCCTTAGGCCTAAAGATGCTCCAGACCAAATTTAATCGAAATCTACTGGGCTGTTCAGGACAAGTAGCGTTTTAAAGGAAAAGTTGACAGACGACGGACGCTGCGCCAAATTGGCATAAGCACACTTACATGTACCCTTCGGGAAGGTGAGCTATAAATATCTAAATAATTAATTTTGTCTCTGTACAAATTCGATCAGATTGTGTCGAGGTTTCTTCACTTTTTTTAATACTCCCCGGCAAAATTAAGGCTTTTCACCATCCTATCTCAACTAAGTTAATTTTAGATTCTCCTTTTTTTGTAAAGCACTTTGACATTTTTACATGTGTATCATCTAGGTCTGACAATCATTCCTGTTTCTTGAGAAGAAGGCGAAGACGTCTGTTAAGTTGGCCTGAGGGCAATCTATCAAATCGGAACACATATGATCTGTGTTTTAAATTTTCCGTTACATAACTGTCCAAGCTACACTGAAACTGTATAACACATTACCACAAAATTACTATCATTGGCACTTGAATAGGAATTCCAGGCTACTAGCACAGTAATTTATCAACTGTGGAATCACACACATGGGTGTTCCATTCAATAAATCTCCCCTGATGCCTCCTCCTCACCCCTTCTTGCCCCTCTCCTTTTTTCCCTTCCTTCTCCTCCTTGCCCTCTCTCCACTCCTATTTGCCCCTTTCCTTCTCCTTGCCCCCTCTCCACTCCTCTTTTCCCTTCTTTTTCCTCATTGCCCCCTCTTCACGCCTATTTGCCCCTTTCCTTCTCCTTGCCCCCTCTCCACTCCTCTTTTCCCTTCTTTTTCCTCCTTGCCCCCTCTTCACTCCTATTTGCCCCATTCCTTATTCTGCTTGCCAAATCCTAGTCCCTCTTGCCCCTCCCAACTCCTCTTTGTCTCATGACACTCCTCCTTGCCCCCAACCCACTCCTTCTTGCCTCCATCCTTAACTCTCCATTTAGTCAGAGGACACTACCACATCCCCCCACCCCACCCACCCCTACTCCACATAATCCACTTGTTCTGAGAGCCCTCCATCAACTGATCCACTTGTTAGGACCCTCCATACCATCCTTCCCCTAATACGCAGGACCCTTAATACCCTTATCCGCTTGTCATAAGATCCTAAAATCTTCCTTCCCTCTCTTCTCTTATCCACTTATGTAAAAGATCTTCTCTCAATCCACTTTGTCTCCTCCTCCTCCTCCTTCCCCCCTCCCCTTAATCCAAGCGGGGCAGCATCATTAGAAAATTACAAGGTAAGGTTCCGTCTGTGTTTTACAGAAATTCTAGACTCACGCAAAGTACTCATCAGTATTTATACCAACACCTGCCACCTCTCCGGGCCATTTGTGGGCCCGACACACACAATCACACCAACCATATTCAAAAACACACCAATGCTGATGTTTTCTTAACAGTCCACAAATTCCATTATGTTTCTTATATTTAATTCAAATAGTTATTATTTTGTAACTTTTTACATATGTCAACATTACATATACTCAAACAACAGTACAAATATATTTCAAACATACCATAGAAGCTTGTAAATTCCCATCTTTTTTTCAACCTTTGCATTGGAAGAATTCAAATGTGACTTTAGGGGTGAATGGGTTAAGGAGGAGATACAAAACATGTAGATTAAATTCTAAATAACATTCATCAGGATATAGATTTGAAATGATCAAAAGCAACAATTTCGTGAAGAAACATTGGAATACATTAAATTGTCAAGTTGGACTTACTTGTAAGGACACACAGCAGAAACAGATACTCAGTGTAGGAGATCAAGCCTGTAACAAACAAAACAGGGGCAATTAGTAATGTCATAACACAAGTAAAATGTTGACTCTAATAAGTACGAGTCAAATAAAAACTTTATATAATCCATCTTTATCCTGACCCCAGTATTAAACATCTATACTACTTGTATTACATGCTGCAACCCATGTGTTTGTTAGTTTAAGTGGTTTTACTTCCACTTTACTGTGAGTAGTTCTTCGAGTAGGTTATCCAGCAGACAAACTGGTATGGAGAAGACTTATATAGGCTGTGCCTGTTCTCTCTAATATCTCTGTTTTAAAACAATAAAATATCTTTGAATTAATTTGAATTAAATCAAGCTTGCAAATTTCTTGAAAAAAAACCCATATGGAATTTGATTGATATTATTTCAACTTAAATGCCAGTAAAAAATGTAATTCTGTTGTTATCATTTGTATCATCTTTAATGTGTCATTCTTGAAAAAACACCCTCTTCTATTGTTTTATAACAATGATGCGATATTTGAGTGAGGAGGTAAGTACTACAAAATCACAGTGTCTGGTAGAACTCAGCTTTGATACATCCTTTAACCCATTCATCCCTTAAGTCACATTTGGACTTTACCGAATCAAAGAGAGGGCAAGTCCAGTTTGAATATATAGGGAGGAATGAGTCAAGTTTGTAAATCACAAGAGAAAAATATGAAAAATCATTTCTCCGTTTAGTTGGAATTATTTATCAAGAAATAAAGAAAATTTTATTTTACTTTCATAATTGTATAGATACATGACTTCATGACATGTATGCGTCTAATTGCTGTAACAAGGCATTGTGTTGGGTGATCTAATTCTGACAATAGTTTTCTTTTCACAATAATTAATGTTCTCTGATCAGTTGTGAAAAATCACTAGCCTCAAAAATAACAGAATGAATATTGCTTCCCCCTAAAACCTTATATTTTATTTCATTAACAATATATAAATACATAATTTATATTTTTTCTTCACATCATTTTTACCCATCAATAGCATGATATATTGTTTCTGCCAAAGACAGATTTGTATTTGTAAAAAGATGTTCCAGAAAAGAACAAAATCTGTCTTTTTTTAATCAACTTATTTATAATTTCTTTCAATTTTTCAAAAGAACTTTTATTAAAACAATTTAACCTCATGCTGTCCTCTTTATTTTTATATCAGAGGAACACATACCAGCGTGACACTTAATTCCCCCTCAAAAAATGTTTTCATTCCAAAATTTTGAAAAATTCAACCATTTGTGTGATTGTAGAGGCCACCTAGAATCCTACATGCATCACAGATGACCGTTTAATGACCAGATGACAGCGGTCATTTTTCATTTTGTTGAAATCAAAAGCCAAAATGCTCGGCTAATTATTATACACCAACTGCTCATAGCGTGTGGCAAAGGTTCAGGGGTCAGGAACCTCCCTGGTCACTGGAAATGATATGTACCTGTTCAATTTACATCAATTAGATAGGGCGATTGTTTGTGTTTGAAGTTGACCGCCGGACCAATCATTCGACAGGTAGGACTATGGAGCATGAACAACTCGAGTGGACAAGTCATACATCAAAAAGTCAAGTAAGAGAAATATTATCAGTGTTTTTCCATGACCGATGGTCACTAGGGATGTAATTCCTTCATCTATTGTCAGTCAAGTCAGAACTGATGACCAACTTAAACAGTGCACTGTTAATCCAGTCATGGTTTTGTCTGCGTTTGAATGGCAAAGAAAAGCAAACGACAATGCCTGATTGGTTCGAGGCACAAGGCGATCACATCATGTGACAGATCCCTGATGCTCACCTCCTGTTTGATATATATTCGAACTGGAAGTTGGCTTTATACAAAGAGTCAATTAACTTTCTAAATGACCATACCGGTCATTCCCTTTTTTGTATAAACAGTCCTGAAAACCATGTTCGACAGTGATAATACCAAAAGGAATTAAATTTCGTTTAAATTCTCGTTGAGCACTGTGAAGAATCAGTTTTTACTTTTTCATCGGTCAATGAGACTTTGACACTCATGACGATTGATATCAGTTCAAAAGCCGACCACCAGAGGGCATCGGTTCATCATCATCACCCACCACTTTGATGACAATTCCGACATTCACCACCGTACGTCGGTAAACGGATTAATTATAATGGCATACACGATACCTGATAGATTGATACGCTGATAAGAACGATTGCGGATTTTTAACATTTTAACAGTTGTTTTGTGAGAAATAAGCACTTCACTCTTTCGCCTTCATTCGTTTTATGTTTGTGTTGTCCTTTCAGTGCGAACATGCGAGGTGCGTGTGGCTAAAGGTGTTTCATAAAAGCCGAGAGTTATCCTACAACGTCTTTATCCGACAATGCTAGTACGATTTGTAAGCCGCGGTACATTATTAGCCTTAAACTGGAGGGAACACCTTTTGTGCAGGGTCATTCGAGCATAACAAGAACTCCTCCCGCTTTTGGCGAGGACAATTTGAAACCTACCACAGGCCAGACACAAGACATGGCCACACTTCACTGGTCAACGGTCACGCCCCAATGATCCACGCGTACCTTTTCCATTCTGCTTCAGGAACCCTAAAGTACCTGTTACAAAGTTTTCACTTCAACCCTTTTTTTACAACAAAATGGATTACAATTAGTTTTCATTTATGGAATTCAAAAACATTCCACACAACTTGAACTGCGATAAAGAGGGAACAATTTGCAATTGACACAGCTTACTGGTGAAGATGCTGGAAACGGTTAAAACGGACCAATTATCCTGAGAGGTAAGTATTTCTGTGACCATTCTTAATTCCTCTAATACTTAAAAGGGCAAACATTTCTGAGCATAGTTTGTGACCAGAGTCAGAAAAAGGGACTCATTTTAAACAGACGTTAAAAAGGAATGGCAAAGAAAAAGAGAATAAATACCTTAGAAGTCTGGAGGGAAATTTTGAAGACTTTGTCATCAATGACTTTCCACTCAAGATAATTTGTGTTACCACAAGATATATTCTTTTACAAAATTGATTTATTTAGCAATCTTTCCATTCGTTACATGAACATATACGAAATGCTTATAGTTGGGATGTACAACATCTTGAACAATGATACTCATTTAAAATGTCCAGAAACCCTAATATATTTTTAATGTCAATATTGTAAAGCATCTATTGATTATTACCTCAACTGCCTTAAACAAAGCATAAGCTACATTTTAAAGATACGACATTGAAGAATCAAAGCCTCAATTCAACAGGCTTCGTTTATGACATCTTTCCAGCATTTTATAGAATCAAGTAACATTTATTTGTATTGTAGCTAAATGTCATTGCCAAGAAAATAAATACCATCAAGAATATTTGCATAAAGCTTTTTATGTAAAATCAGGATTTGGCACAAATGATTGACTTTATTTTCTTGGTATATAAAGTTAAATAGTAGACACTGAATTGCAATTTCCTTGAGAATAATGCATCATTTTAAGCAACAAAAGCTATCTAGATTTACAGACAAATGTCAACAGGAAATTGCAGGAAATCGTTTTAAGAACCACAGCATTATATAAAACTTTAACGAGGTTTGTAAGTCTCCAAGAACGTAAAAGATAATCTTCAATGAAAATTGAGTTTTATCAACGAAACATTAACCTCATACATTCTAGCGCAAGCAATTTTGATGGACAGCAGGATGCAAAATTGGTGCAACATGAAATCAAATTGAGGCGACAGGATTTTAATTCGGATATCTCAGGATTCAAATCTGGGGCCACTTGATTGAAAATCGGGGCAACCGAATTCTGATATACAGATATGTACAATTTTCATATAAAACCAACAGAAGGCTTCAGACCTTGTGGCCATTAGTATTCAACCTTTGGGACAGCGGTATTCAAACGTAGTACGTACCAACAAGACATTGGTTTGGGGACATTGGAATTCAAAGTGGAAGACAGTGTGGTTTATCTCATGAAAGAGTAGGCTGGGTACCTGGCAGCCACTGAGTCAGATACCTATATAGAGATCAGACTACCCCAAACCTGGCCTATATATATCTAATGTAGAAAAAGAAAGTCACCTTTACTGTAGTCAGCACAGCTGCATAAATGGGTAGTACACGGATTGGCTGGTGTGGTCCTTCTGTAATATGGGGTACATTTCTGTTACTTTAAGCCCAAGGAAGGGTTATTTAAGTTCATTGTCCAATTGATGATTTACTTTTAACTTGACAAAATGGTTGCATTCTTGTGACCCACTGTTTACTATGGTGTGGTTCTAATCCCAATCATGTTGCTCTCTACTTCTATTTGGTATGTTTATTACTCTGTTTTATTTGGTTTTTATGTTGTCTCTGTGTTAATTTGGCATACTTTTGTAAATTACTCTTTCTTTCCTACAAGATGATGTTGTTTAATGTACTTGATAATCCTGTTGCTTATTTTTTCTATTTGGTGTTCAGGTGTTCTCTGGTGTACATTTGGTTTAAGCTTGTTGCTGTACATGTACTAATTTAAAGTGATCCTGAAAGGTGAAAGACCACTCTCCTTCCCCAAAAACCTTAAACACACACATAAATACACGTTTACTATAAAGGACTTTCCCTCCTACCCCTTTCTGCCTCTCGGGTGTATGCCCTACTTTGCTATCACTACTTGTCTTGCCCAAGTCGGGCAGCGCACCAGCACACCACCGATGTAGTATCAAAAGGCAACAGAAAGGTGATAAGCCTAAATTAGGGGAATTGGGGATCGCAAATTAAGCGAACAGGTGATTATATGGGAGTTTGCTTCAGAACATGTAAGGGCCCCCCAAAAATTACCTGTCCGTGAGGAAAACACCAAACGCAGAAAAGCCAACGCGAAATGGCTATAGCGTGATCCGAGATCCCCTTTGATTGCAAACCCATTAGGCTTGCAATGGGATAGGAAAATAAGCTATACTTGTGAGCATGTATTCATTTTAGCATCGTTTCCTCAACAATAGCTGACACCCTCCTGCTGTGCATAGCGCGT